ACATATGCAACAGTCATTGGTTTGTATATAAATCAAAAGGAGAAATAAATCAACTACACGCTTGTTACTGGGCTGCAAAAAATATACATGAATACAAATACTGTGAGTAATTCATACGCAAATAAAGGGTTATGCAAATTATTTATTAAATTTGGTTATTTAGTTTATGTGACATGCAAAAACTGATGCAGCCACGTCCATCACTTAAACTTAACAACCATGTTCTTATATTAAATATTAAATATCCTCATAGTTCATATCATGGAATACAATAAAGTGAAGGAAGCACCACGATATTACATAGTACTCATTTCAGATTAAAAATTATTTCATAAATTGTTCTATTTAATACTAGTTTTAATACATCTTTAATACATCATAAAAATATATGTAATTTGATGAAATTTGTCTTTCATATAAATGCATCACGAAAGTATGCATATTCTAATAGCCTACTTGTTAGAAATGAGAAAATACAAAGCCATTTTTCAGGACAACTCAAAAATGCCCAAAATTATGATAACCCTGTTTATGCTGTCTTCAGTGGTACATTGTCCAAGAAACATAATAATTGGTCTTACTGTTACTAAAAGCCACATGACCAATGGTCACATTTTGAGGCAAAAGATCTTGTTTTGTCAAATTACTGAAGTACATATTGTTAAATGTATACAAAACATAAAAGTAGGTCAAGATTAAGCATGTCCAACATACTGGCAGTTTCTATGAAATACATCCCCCCCTGCTCAACCACCCCACACCCAACTAACCATATGTCCAAAATCAAAAATAGGTCAGGGTAACCTACATTGCATAAAATAGGTTTTGGACATGTGGAACAATTATTACATGTACTTCAAAAGTAGGTCACAGTGACCCACTACAGATATAATTAATCATTATCTTTTCATCAGTAAGATATTAGTCCAATGAAATCATTACAATAGCCATTTTTCACCAAAAGAAATTCCAAAAATAGCCAGAATAGGGCAAAGTACCCTTCGAACATGTTTCAGTGATAAGGTCATGGTCAAGGTCAAGGTCAAGGTCATGGTCAAGATCAAGGTCAATGAAACCCACAAAACCAGAATATTATTTATGAAAATCATTTCAACAGCTGTCATGGTAATGGCCATTTTTCAAATAAAAATTTGAATGTAGCTATCTAGATAATGATTACAAGTTCAAGCTGAAAACTGCAAACCTACCTTATTCGTTTGACAAACAATATAACCTGAAACATTCATCTGTAACCATGGATTTACAGTGGAGGGGATAAAATAATATCAGACAGAAATATTTATATTTTAAGGACCAATAAGAGCGAGATTGAATTTTTGTTTGAGACAAACAATTATTTTGTTTATGGAGGATCTGTTTAAGGAATATTCTGGTAAGTTGATATAAAGACAAAAATAGCTGAAATAATCTCAGTGCATTCCCCCAATATCGTGAGTGAGTGAGTGAGTTGGGTTTAACGCCGCTTTTAACAATATTCCAGTTATATCACAGCGTGTCAGCTTAATGTGGGAGGAAAGCCCGAAGTGATGCAGGTCTTAGACGTTTACCACTTCGGTGAAACCCACAGGCACGGGTATGGTGCTGACAAACCTAGAAACATAATCGGGGTGAACCGGGATTCGAAACCCACAATCAAAGGATGCAACTCTGCACAGCGAATCGCGGCGCTTTAGATGACTGGGCCACTCGTGCCCCCTCCCCCAATATCAAATGGTCGGTCTCTTAGTGGTAGCCAACCCAGTTATAATTCATTCTCAGGAGCCATAGTGGACCCCTTATTCCCCGCTGTAGCCTCTTGACATGACACACGCACGTAAACGATCTGCTTTCCATCCCTAAAGGGAACATTAATCATCTGCAAATTTCTGATCTATAATCAAGTGAGTTGTAACATTGAAACCAATATTTGGCTTGCACAGACGGTTTCAGAAATTCATGTAAACAATTCAACCTAATTACAGATTTTATTTGTTCCCTAAATCAAAATATGAAGAATAATTTTGAAAAATGCGATCAAAACAATTTGAAAAAAGATTGTTAATAAGTTGAAATGTCCCAATTTTAATTGTTTACAGTTCTTAATTTAGTCAATACATTTGTCTGATGACTCCTCGCCATCTGCAAATCAATATTATACTCATGGGAAGAAATAAGGGAACAGTTGTAAAGGAAGCATGTGTTTCACAGAAACAAGCAGATGAAAAATGGCGATAGGGCCATATTACCAAGAGACGTGGTTATGCATGTTCCATTGGAAAATCATGAAAATGGAAGAATTTGTTTTAATGAAATAAAAATGATGATGATGATGATGATGTTGACGATGATGATGATGATGATGATGGTGGTGATGGTGATGATGGTGATAAGAAGATCACCCAAACCCTCTTTGCCGCATTCATTTATTTTAATCTGTTTAATAATAATAATAATTACAGCCAAAATTTTTGTTCCCTTATTTTTTTCCAGAAGCAAATAAAGAACATGGCGAGATAAAAAGAAAGATATGCTGCACAGGCTAAAAATATCCTCACACCTGAAATAAATTTACATGGTGTCTCTCTGAAATATGAAACACAAATATGGCACATACGTGAAACAGGGTAAAACAACACGCCCAACAATTGTACTTGTTTAATAGACTCAAGCTTAAAGAAAAACTCTCACTGAAGCACGAGGGCACAAACACAACAGCGAAAACACCTCTTCAATCATGCATGTATAAAAGTCTCAAAAAAGCACAGCAGCTTAAAAGTCCTACATATACATTTGTACCATATACTCACATGACTACACTTTGTCATGAAACAATGTAATATACATGATACACAGGTAGTTTTGATGAATATATTGTTAGTTCTTACTACCATGCCACTACCGACACCACAAACAGGGACTGACCATTTTATAAGGAATACGTAAGGATAAAAAAAATACAATACAATTTATTTTTTGGTCATCCTTTCCAGAGAGGCAGTTTCATTGTTTGCACCCATGATAAAATTGTTTTTTTACAGGCATTTAAATGCTCATTTTGAAAAATGGAGCAAATCTGGAGAAAAATTACGAAAACATAAAACAGTCTGTCCTCCACATAGCTTTGACTGAAAAAAACCGAAGTATACAGAATTAAATAATAGCGCCTGCAATACTTTGATTTCAAGGCTTTAATTTCAGTACCACTGAGAATAGGTATGGGGCTGACAAACCTAGAAAAAATAATTGGGGCAATCTGGGATTTGAACCGAGAAACTTAAGTTTTCACACATCTAAAGGATCTAACTCTGGACATGGTTTAGCAGGCCCTTCGACAACTGGCGAGGCATGCATTGTGATCTAATAGTCTAATATGTATAGTGGCTTAATTCAGACAGGCTCTAAACACACCAAAATGTGTCTACTTCAGCTACAAGCTATAGCATGCATTGCAAACAAAAACCAAAACGTGACAGGAGGCCAGAACGCTGCTTGCAATTTCAACCAGCTGAAACTGATGATACTTAACATAAAGTGCTTCATCCTTAATGCATAGACAAGAAATAGCAAGGAACAGATATGACAATAAGTGAGCACGATGACGTGTCCTGTATTAACACTGTAAGCCACAACTCTGGGAACGCGGTGGATTACAAATGTGACTTGTTCTAACCTTCGCGAGATAAATTGGAAAATTTAACGGCAATATTTCATTTGTATTGAAATTTGAAAAGAGTGAATGTCATTTTAGGCCACAATACTGCAGCATTATGATGTCAGCTTTTAATAAACCAAAATAAAGGATAAACCAGTGGATATTTCTAAGCAACCATCCACGGCATTGATACATGGCAGCCAATCAACCAGGTCCCATATGCCTACTAAAGTACTCACGGAAATGAAAAAAAAACTTTTTTTTTTTACCTCAGATCTTAAATAAATGCAGTTAATATACAAAATATGTAAATATTCAAAGAACTAAATTAGTACTACATGTGTAATTGGGCCGTGGCACAAATACAGCGTATCAAATGTTTTTTTTGCCTTTTTACACGTAAAAGTGTGTAAAAATGTGAATAAAACAGACTATTGTGAAACAGGGCATAACCAGGTGTAAGTAGATCAAGGTGACCTATGACACCTTGACGACAGGTGAGAACAGATGCAGAATGCCTATAGTCTGTTTCTGCTATGTCAATTTGGACTTAGTTATATTTTTTAATGTTGAAAGTGCCGACAAATTACCTCCTGTAAAGTACATTTTGTATTGTTCGCTGAGATCAAACTAGCAAATCCAGACTAGTACTTTTCGAGTTGTTTTGTTATTTCGTATTTACAGCTACGTAACACTTTGTGTCGATTTTTAAATTGAGAAAAACAATTTTTTTTCATTTCCGTGAGTACTTTAGTTGACTCTTGAGACCAGTATTTGGTATTTGGTTTTCCTCCGTCTGGATTCTTATTGGGAAAAAGACACAATTATACCACCAGGGTGTGCTATGTCCATTGTTTCGGAGAGTTGTTACTCTTCGCAATGAACATGCAACATGCCGAGGTTTGGCCGATTTAGACGAGCTGGGAGGTGGCCATGGTTCATAGGATTGCATTGCCATGTAAAATGCATTGCGTTTGTGACCCCTGTGGTTCAAGTAGGTTATCGCCCCGCCTCGAGCATTGAAAGTTCAAATCACCCTTTAGGAAGGTGTTAACCTACACTTAAACAAGGTGAATAATTTCAGGCAAAATTACCATTCACTTTGTTTGTCGTTGGTATCACGCAGATATCCATTCAGACGACAAAATGAAAATGATACCTGATTGGTCATTTAAGCACCCATTCTTTGATCTGAAACTTCGACAACACTGGAAATTATTTGTATATCCTCAAGAGTTGTGTGTGTGTGTTTGTTTGTTTGTTTGTTTGTTTGTTGTTTAATGCCACACTCGGCAATATTCTCCAAGAGTTGTGGTTACAGAGAATACAAGACATAACCATATTCCACCTGGTTCGAGAACTTTCGACTGTAGTCCCATGGTGGAGCAATCACCAAATTTTCTTGAATGGCCACCTGAAAACATTTACATGCTTCATTCAAATACTTGGTCAACCTTTCCATAAACCTTTCTTAAAGGAGGAGTTTCCATGCTTACTATGAGGAATAATGTCTTTCGGTAAACTTTTGTTCGAGTCAAGTCTGGCGAAAATTATCTCCTCATTAATGGTAAATGAAGAACCATTCATTGGCCATGAAGTTAGATGAATCCCAGTTTGGTTGGTTTGTTGTTTAACGCCGCACTCAGCAATATTCCAGCTATATGATGGCGGTCTGTAAATAATCGAGTCTGGACCAGATAATCCAGTGATTGACATCATGAGCATCGATCAACGCAATTGGGATTGATGACATGCATCAACCAAGTCAGCGAGTCTGACCACTCGATCCCGTTCGTCGCCTTTTACGACAAGCATAGTCACCTTTTACGGCAAGCATGGGTTGCTGAAGACCTATTCTACCCCGGATCTTCACGGGTCTCATCCCAATTGGGTATTGGATGGTATAAGGGACTGGCGACATCCTGTCCATGGCCAAAGCGTGATGAAACGGAATGATGTTTCTGGTTTAAAAACACTGGTGTGGTTTTTCTTTGAAGGACAACTAATCTAGGATTAAACATTATGAAATATTAGCTCTCAAACCACCGGACATTTATGTACATTTAGTCAAGTTTATAGATTAATATCTTCAAAAGACTGTGTCACTAGACCAGGGAAACCTGTATTATTAATGGTGGCCTTCGACTGTGGGGTAACTATAAGATCACGATAGGAAAATAATTATGAAAAAAATACGAACCAGCGAAAAACAGTGAAGATTTGTTACATATAATTCTGTGTTGGTTGCTCTCAAAAAGCATTCCCTTGTTTTGAAAACCAAATTTTCATTATGGTTATATATGACCTGGTTGTCCTCTCAAGAAAACATACCGGCTGTACTAAAGCTATACACAAGCATGGAAACTTCTCCTTTGAATTTGCAGTGAGTCAAATATGCTGACCAATACTACACTCTCAGTTTGGTGAAGGGTTCTAACAAAGGATGAACAGGACCTAATAAAATGTTTCCAATAAATAATTTGCAAAATATTTTGAATTCTCTTTGTATTAAGTTTACTTTTCTATATATACACCTGAAAAAAAGTAAAGCACACCCCTTCTTCATTTTAATATATCTTGACGCCATGCATCTTTCGGAAAAAAGTACATACCATATTTACCGTAATAAACGCTCCAGGTGTTTAGAAAATTCAATAGAGGGTGTTTATTAAAATCATACCCAAATAAATTTTCCATGCATCTTTCCAAAATAAGTACATATCATATTTGCTCTAATAAGTGCCCCAGGTGTTTAAAAAATTGACAAAGGTGGCGCTTATTAAAACCATACACAAACTAAATTTGTTGTTGAGATTGAGAGGTAGAGAACAAACCTCAAACATCCATGAAACTAAACGGTTACTAACAGTTACTAGGAGAGCCACATCCCTTTCTTCACTGCTATGTTTACTATAATAGTGAGTGAGTGAGTGAGTGAGTTTGATTTTACGCCGCCTTTAGCAATATTCCAGCAATATCACGGCAAGGGACACCAGAAATGGGCTTCACACATTGTACCCATGGCGGGAATCGAACCCGGGTCTTTGGCGTGACGAGCGAACGCTTTAACCACTGGGCTACCCGACCGCCCTACTATAGTAAGATCAGTAATGTACCAGAAAAAATTGATTGCCATGTTTCTCAGGGGACGTACGGTAATTAAGCTATTCCATTGATTTCATTTTGATAAATGTTTAAGATCTCAAAAACTGACTATTTAACATGGAAATATTTAATATCAGTAAGCAGTGATTATCTTTTTCCCAGGTGTATATTTTTCTTTTTATCTTGATACCAGACCTTCAACAAAGGAAGAGTTCAGCCACATCAAATAATTACAAGTCATTCCACTATCTTAACAAAGGAAAGTAAATGTTCCAATCCACACACCCCCCCACCCCACCCCCCACCATCCGACTTCCAATAACTCAGAAAACCTCAAAGTCTTCAAGAACAGCTCAACATAATCTAGTCACCCTGCAATGCAACACCTGCATTTACCAACACCGTATTCAACTATTTGATGCACCAAACACAGTCTTGCCAACAGAAATATGCAAAAAAATACACGCTTGATATACCATATTCAACGTAATAAGCGCCCAGGCGCTCTCAAAATTAGAAATAGGAGGCTCTTATTAGAATATAATTTTGGTGAGAATAAAAAACACAGTTGAAAGATTGTAAATTTTGTGGTTTATGCTGACAGCCTGAAATGATACAAAAAATGTATGTGTGTATTATACAAGACAGATACATTTTCCAGATTTTAATTGCTCATAATTAAGGATGCAAATAACACATGTGTGCGTATTATACACGAATAATTAAGTCTTGTGTACATCGATCAATCGGAAGGGGTGCTAATTGGGATAGTTCACTAACCAATACATTAACAAATATCGCCATGGGCGCTTATTACGTTGAATACGGTATACGCAAATATTCTTCTTAACAGACTGAACAGTTCACTAGATTAAACTGATTTGCCACACCCTTTGCTTGTAGTGAGTGAGTGAGTAAGTATGGTTTTACGCCGCTTTTAGCAATATTCCAGCAATATCACGGCGGGAGACGCCAGAAATAGGCTCCACACATTGTACCCATGTTGGGAATCGAACCCAGGTCTTCAGCGCGAAGAGCGAACGCTTTAACCACAAGGCTACCCGGCCACCCCTCCCTTTGCTTGCAATTTATATACACCCAAGGCTCGATTCCACAAAGCTATCTTAGCACTATGATTATCGTAAGCCTATGATAGAGTATGGGAGTTACGATCATCTTTAACACTAAGATCCCTTTGGTAACAGGGCTCTCATTTGGTTGATTACTGTTTCCGTCTCAACACTGCTTGAATATTTATCAATATTTGAAACAACAAGTAATTAATTGTTATGGCTATACTACCAGGGTAAACTATATATTAATATATGTATATACATTATGAACAATATCTTCTACAACTATGCATATAATTATACACAAACATGAAAGGGAGGCAGATATTGTATAACAAGCTATATAGCATGTTCCAAGTGTACAAATACGCGGCACATTCTCGCACAATCAAGACGTCACAAATGTCGTGTAAGATGAACAACTTGCAGTTGCGAAACATTCGTTTCTATTTTATTTACAATTGTCCAAAGACGGAGCGAGAAATTTTAAAATGGGGTGTATTAAATAAAATCTAGGCTTTATAATATTATACTGAGCGAGAACAATTGGGGATCATGAATTTTTTGGGGATATGTTTTTGTCGTGCGCACACAATGTCATAAAAATATCCCCCAAATATTCATGATCCCTAACTTTTTTTTGTTCAGCATATTATTGTTGTACTGACAGTCGGGATTTACCTAGGATATCGCAGTGGCTGATATGAGGGCAACACAATGTCAGTAAAAATACACAAATAGGACAAATAATGTCTTATTTGTGGTATGCTAAATGTTTTAAACAGTGATTCATTGCTAAAATAGACCCGTGCAGATTCCGGGGTAGAATAGGGCTTCAGCAACCCATGCTTGCCGTAAAAGGTGACTATGCTTGTCGTAAAAGGCGACTAATGGGATCGGGTGGTCAGGCTCGCTGACTTGGTTGATGCATGTCATCGATCCCAATTGCGTGGATCGATGCTCATGATATTAATCACTGGATTGTCTGGTCCAGACTCGATTATTTACAGACCGCCGTCATATAGCTGGAATATTGCTGAGTGCGGCGTTAAACAACAAACCAACCAACCAACCAACCATTGCTAAAATATTTTCAAATTTTAGAAGCAAGGGTCTGTTCCACAGAACAATGAGTGAGTGAGTGAGTATGGTTTTATGCCTTTTTAAGCAATATTCCAGCAATATCAATGGCGGGGGACACCAGAAATGGGCTTCACATACGTGGGGAATCGAACCGGGGTCTTTGGCATGATGAGCGAACGCTTAAACCACTGTGCTACCCCACGGCCCCAACAGAACAATGAGGTTTTTTTAATTTGCCTGGCTAGGTACTCACAGGAAAATCCTAGATAAATCCACTGACAGGTTCAAATCTGATTACTGAAACAACCAGCAGAGATCCCCCTGATCTCTAGCTCCCCTTTAGATCTAGTAGATGTGCTATATGATTATACTGGCCTAGGATACAGTTTGTTAAGTTGTTTAACACCAGTGGTTTTGTCATATTCAAAATGTCTTATTTACATAATTGTAAAAATAGATGTCAGGTTTATGATTTGATTAACAGAATTGCATTGAGCAAGACTCTCAAACCATGTTGATGAATCTTTTTTCCAATTTAATCTGAGGAACAGTGCTTAACAAAGTAATGATTAATCAACAACATCCAGTACAACACCATGCTCCACCACAACAACATCATCAACACCATGCTTGTACGCATCGTTCGATATTCTGGTTTGTCTGTTAGTAAATTATATTTAGACTTGCATTGGAGTGTGTTCAAAACTGATGTTATCGTCGATCTCCTACCAAAGAATTGAGAAGTCCTCAATGGAATGGAGTATATCCTTGATCAAAACATTACAAAATTGCATCAGATACTACTCAAATAAAGTCAAGGATCACCTGTTTCTTTCATGTTACTATAGTTAATCTGGCATGGCATAGGGTGATCCTTAACTTATTTTCAGTAGTATATTACAATGTTCACGGGTTTGAAAAGAGTCTACACAGTGTTTTGAGAAGCACAAAATCCACTTTTTCTCATTAATCAATTATCACTAATTTGACATATTAAACAACTAAAATATAAATACTCAAAATGCATCGATCATGTATGCAAAGGATACAACATTAGCTATTATAAACATTGGAATTTCAAATTTCATTTTCACAAATGGTACCAATGATTGCATCTTCCCTAGGCAAGGGAGTTTAATTACTCTAACAATCC